ATGTTTAATAATTATATCAATTTGTATACAAGTACTAGATTGATGATACTAATAATGGGGAAAAATATGGAATTGAAAATTATTAGATGTTATCAATGCTAAAATAGAATATCACAATAAATTTAGTTAAATATAGTTAAATTTTGAGTGCTATGTATAACGTAATAATAGCTATAGTCAAATAAATGATTAATAATAACAGCATTTATATATACTAGATTGATAATACAAAATCTTATACAAACTGTATGACAATCATGGAGATGATGTTGAAAAGACTTTTTATAAAAGATAAATAATTCTATATAGAATAGAATATAAAGATGTAATATCATTGAATATTTCAGGATGATGTAATAAATGTCATAATATAAATTTACTTCAAATTTAATATGCCTTATATTGAAAGGATATCATAATAACTAGGCTTAATGGATGTTTAATAATTATAACAATTTGTATACAAGTATATTAGATTGATGATACTAATAATGGGGGGGGGACATGGAATTGGAAATTATTAGCGAATGTTATCAATGCTAAAATGATTGAATGACTTAGAATAGGAGGAAGCATAATAACAATGTATACAAAGATATCTTGATTGTCAATATGTGAATATTGATAAAATTCAAGTGAGGACTATGGAAAGGACACAAAGACTTTGTAACCAATCAACACAGTGTGTGTAGTTGAAGAGGCTTTTATGTTATGTGTTGTGTATTTGTGTTTTTTTTTTTTAAAGAACTATCGGTAGTACCACTGATGAAAGATTCCAGTCTCTGTATCTCACACTTTTCTGCGACTTTCAGGCAAGAGATCTCAAATATAGTACAAGCCCTGAGATAGGATTAATATGATTTTTTTGAAACAAGAGAAATCCAAACCCCCTTAAATTTGCTATTCAAGTTTTTTTAAACATCTAAATCTAAAAATTTATGAATTTATGAACACTTATTCTTAAACTGTGATATGACATTGCATATTGATTTCCAATTCCCCCCCCCCAAGACCCATTCCTCCAATATGTAGAGAAAGCAGGTGATGATAATTATTTTATTATACATTTACTTGATAAATTATCTCTCTGGAATTAGGTCATACACAGTAATATTGCCACAATTTATAATTACAGGATTACAATGGATTCTTATAATAAAACTTGGGCTTTCTGGCTTTTATACAAACTACATTATATTTGCCAGTCTAATTTGAGCCTTTGTTGTCATTATTCAGTTATGACTAAAATAATATTCCACATACAACTGACATCTGATAGTTGGCACATATTTTTGTCTGTGAGATACAGTACAATATTTAAAAAGGAAGGCTTCATTAAAAGAAATAAGCATTACAGATACATAATTTTCTTTGTCTGTCTATGAAAGTCCCAGAAGTTGACAAAGTACAACTCAAATGTATATATTTTAATATATGTGGTGTTTCATATCATATTTGCATCAAAATCATTTTGTAAAAACAAAACTATATGAAAATACATTCAAAGATTTAAAAAATATAGCAAAATATTCATAAAGTTCAAAAGATTAACTACAAGACTCTTTAATCTGCTTCAGTTAAGAGGCTGGAAAAATTAATACAACTTGTTATATCAATATGGTTTAATTAGTCACTCATTTCCTTACTGGACAATAAATTCTTTACAACCAAACAAAGAACAAATACACATAGAGTCAGCTCAGTACATCTGTACAACCCTCCTTGATTTGATAAAGGGCACCCCTTTATAATCTAATCCACAATTTAAATGCAGGTCTGGGTATATGCTGTTTCTAACATGCTACTATGGCTAGAAGGCATTTATTTATTTATTTTAATTCCAGAAAACAAGAATCATAAATCCTTTCATCTCACTTAAAGCGGGACTGCATTTTCTTTGTAGACAGAACACTTAGTTTATCCTATCTGAGTAGCAAAGTTCTGGTTTGGATTAATTTTTAAAAAAAATCAATGAATATATTATATTTTCTTGTACATTGGTATATTTCCTGTATTAATTTTATCTAACTGTGAAATATGTCTAGCTTGGGCGGGAGGTGGGAACGCAGAAGACCAAACATATATCTCTTAAAACTGATTTGATTCTGTTTTTAATTGCTTCCTTTGGCAATGAGGGGACAGTGATAAAATGATCTCTCTTTACATGAGGCAAGTTGTTTTAGTTAAGAAAAATCCAGACCATCCCCTCTAGCATAAGCACCAACACAAGGAAATAAAAAAGGAGTGTGGATTTATTCCAAGATTGATAGGATTGGCTAATACTACAAAGATCTGGCCTCCAATCCTCTGATATTAGTTCCAATGTCATATTACCTTTCGTTTTAAATATTTCAATAAAATATAGAACTCAGGAGGTAGGAAGATAAAGCAGACATCAGAAAAATGTAATATTCACAGGCTCTATGTGCTTAGATATTTTAAAATTGGAATTCAGCATGCTTAATTTTTTTCTGGATTACATAGTTCAAGAGACTATAAAGCAACTTCCACCCAAATGGACACCATTATTCTTCCACAATCCACAATAATATATATATAAGTATATGCTTTGTATCCAGAGCACTTTGAGCTCATATTGGCTATATTAAATATGGAAAAGGATCTAGAATTTGTATCACGAAATATACATACAATGAAATTGTTATGCTTACAAAGAACACCTATTTTCTCCAAGCTTTATATGAACCTCAGAAAGAATTTGGTTATGAGTTTAGTGTTAACATAAATATATACTTTATAGTCAGCATGGGTACACAAGGCTTATTTTTTCACAAAAAGCTGATGGATGATACCACCTTAAAACATAGGCTGAGAGATATGTAACTGATTTTCCTTCACACAGGGAAAAAATCCTGCATTTCAGGAAGGAAAGATCCATGCCTAAATACTCTCTTCTGTATTTTCTGTGGAGTGTTTTCACACAGAGAAATATTATGACACGTAAAACTGTACTAGGGGACAAGGAGAAAAAGCTGCACGCACACCTGAATGTGACACTTTCCACTCTCAAAATGTTACTCCGTACATAAAATCTTTCTGCAGGTATAATTCTTTCCTCAACTATAAATGTGAATATTGCCAATTTTAAATTAAGGCTGTAGCAAAACCATGTCAATCTAAGGCTTAAAATATGTAGCAATGAGAAGATCTATTTTTCATCTGTTCAGTACAAAATATTTTTAAAAAAATCCTTGTGTTACATCCAATAAACAAAAACAAAAACAAAACAAAATCACAGAATTAAAACCCTGCACACAAATGCAAAATCTTCCCGATAAAACTGTGTGTGACATCTTGTGCTACAGGAATTAGGTTAACTCCTACCTTCTGGTTTGCCAATTACATCTTAGAAATTACTTCTTTTATTTTACTGATTATGTGGACGAAAGCAAAAAGCCATGCAGCGTTAACTAGCAGGCATCCGGGACAAATTAATTTCAATGCTAAGATAAAAATTAAATTGCTCAAATAAAACAAATGCCAATTGTTTTAAAAGCCAGAAGCATTTATTGTTTTCAAACTGGGTTGACTGCAGTTTATCTGCTTTAGCAAAACCCCAAGGTGAAATAACCCACCATGTTCCTTTTAAATAAGCCACAGTAGTTTGCTCCTTCATGTACCAAGAATATCTCAAGGCAAATGTGTCCTCGTAATTTCAGAGTCAGAGAGTCCATCTTCTTGAAGACAGGGCTCATAGTCTCCAGCATTATTTGCCAAGTCAATATCTGGCTCATCATTGCTCTCAGCGCTATAGTCCACTTCTTCAAGGAAGCGAGGTTCATCTTCTTCTAGAACATAAGTAGTGGGGCTACAGCAAACATATTAAACACTCTGGTTAATTAAAATGGAATGTAATTCATGGAAATACAACAATTTAATATAGATATCATTTGGTATTTACAAATTATTCCTATCGTTAATTTCTTTCTCAGGTAGCGTAGGTCAAGTTTGGGAAAACAACATTTATGTACTTGTATACTGAAGACCTGCAGAACTATATGTTTTATGTTGAATTGAATGTTAATTAAAAAAACAGAAACCAAATACTAGGGATGACTAAGCACAACTGAATTTTAGAAAGCTAATCAAAATATTTTTTCAATAGCATCAATTTTTTTCACAGTATTAGGCTTTCTCTTCATGCTACAAGAGACAATTTTCTTTGAAAATAGATTTTATAGATGAGGAATGATTGCAAAAGCTTATTTAGTTTATTACAAAGTCAATCCTACCCACCTTACTCCACCTCCCAAAGTTTATTCATTGGGAGAAAATAAAAATAATGCACAGAGGCAGAGATCGAGTTTGGTGTAGTTGTTAAGGCACCAGGCTAAAGATCAGGAGACCTAACATTATAACATGATCTTGGGCATAAAGACAGCAAGGTGACCTTGGGCCAGTCACTGTCTCTCAGTCCTAGGAAGAAAGCAATCTCAAATCACTTCTGAAAATCCTGTCAAGAAATCTGGGGGGATTGGTTTAGACAATCACCAAGAGTCAACTCTGATTTGAAGGCATACGCCCACACAACCTCCTCTTAATTTCATATTGCTCTGCCTCCAAAACAAAAAGCATTAAAATATTTCAAATGAATAAATGAACCCACTATTCTCCAAAGCTTATTAGTAAGATACTCCAAAATGAGGTTCCATTTCAAAGCATTTTTGGCACCATTGACCTAACATTATATTTCACCAAAATGTATCTCAGGATTTCATTGTAATGATGTAAATGATGTAATGTAAAGCCTAACCCCCAAGCCTGTAACGTTAGGTATTAAAAAAGATTAAAGAATAGAAAAAAATATATTGTATCTTGCAAAGTTTATATTTTAGAATTTAAGTAGTTGACCACACTCAGCTAGGTAGATCAAAACAGTGTGTGTTTACTACAGTACAGCTGCTGGCCATTCTTCACATGTATGCATAAACACAGCAATGTAATCCCTTGGCTACAGTTTGCAAGCAATACTTTGATTTCTGGATCCAAATTCCTATTTCATTAATCTGTTTGGAGTTAATTTACAATAAAAGCTACCTGCCACTATAGTCTTTTTTTTTTTTAATCCAAATAAGCCTCTGGCAAAAAAATTTAAACGTGATTTTTTTCCTACCTTGTCACTTTACAACTAGATTCAATCAATTCATTTTCAATGTCCAAAAGAGTAGATGGCAGATTATATTCCAATGGCGATGTCAGTTTTTTCAAACGCAATAAACCAGTACAGAATTTGGCTCCCATCTCTTCCAGTTCACGTGTCCCGATTTGTAAGCCCTAATGAGAAAACATACAGCGTTAAATAGTTCAGTGCAATTTCCTTTCTGCACGTATATAATTCACTATTTACTCAAGACGCATAACTGAAAGAAAAGAGGTAGCAAATGCTGCCAATATTTTTATATGTACAACTTCCTGCACAAAATGGGAGCATCTCGAGGGGGATTCTTTGTGAATCGAATTGGATGTGCTTAAAATCCTCCCCAACATAAAAAGACTGTGGGCAGAAATGGAGGAATGGCATATGAATCCACGATTCTCTGCCATGTACACTTCAAATGAGTAACACTGCATAATACTTTTCAGTTCCTTCCCCGTCCCTCCCCTGGCCTCCCATGACTCATGTGCTGCTTGCACTGGTCCTCCCAGGTTTCCATGACTCACACATAGTCTGCACCAGAGCCTCCCCTAGCCTCCCATGAAGCCTGCACTGGCCTTCCCAATCACTCCTCTAGCCTTCCGTGACTCATGTACAGCCTGGACTGGCTCTCTTGAGCTCTACATGGGGCAGCCCTTGAAGAGTGTTCGGAGACTTCAGCTTGTTCAGAATGCAGCCGCGCGAGCGATCGTGGGTGCGCCTCGGTACACCCACGTTACACCTATCCTCTGCGAGCTGCACTGGCTGCCTATTGGTCTCCGGATACGCTTCAAGGTGCTAGTTGTCACTTATAAAGCCCTACATGGTATTGGACCTGGGTACTTGAGAGACCGCCTCCTGCCGATTACCTCCCAAAGACCCATTAGATCCCACAGACTAGGCCTCCTCCGAATTCCATCTGCCTGCCAATGCCGGCTGTCAACTACCCGGAGGAGGGCCTTCTCTGTGGCTGCTCCGGCCCTCTGGAATGATCTCTCCGTGGAGATTCGGACCCTCACCACCCTTCAGGCTTTCCTTAAAGCCGTTAAGACCTGGCTGTTCCAGCAGGCCTGGGGCTGCTGAGTTCCATCCCCACTCGAACTGGTGTGCTTGTTGAGACTTTTTAAATTGCTTCTGTATTGTTGTTTGTTTTTGTTTTCTTTCCTTTTGTATTGTTCCCCTTCCCTTTCGGTTTTGTTAGCCGCCCTGAGTCCCTCGGGAATAGGGCGGCATACAAGTTGAATAAAACCTCTAAACCTCTCGCCCCCTCCGCCTCCTCCTGCAGCAATTCCTGGCGATGCCCCTGTGTTCTTTATCTAGGACCCCCACTTCTTCCTGCTTAACAGTGCATGCATTTTGAGATCGCCGCAGCAACCAGGAGAGTCCAAAATTGCCAGCATTAAGTGATACAGTCACGTAATGTCAAACTTTACCACTGCATCACTTAGTGATGGCAATACCTGTTGTTACTGCCATCATAATCTGAGGACCACAAAGAATGCTTTTTAGGGAAAACAGAAACCATGATTAAATAACTTTTATGACCAAATGAACACAAGGGCATCTTCCATATTCTAGACTATATATGAATTATATTGAATGCACATTCTAGATTATGTGAATGGTTTTCTTCATCAAAAGAATGTTAACTATTTAGGAGTCTGTTCATTAAATTACATGATGTGCAAGAGCCAACATAATTCCAAGCTCCTTTGAAATGAATTCAAGTACTATCCAGTACCAATTGTAATTCTTCAGATGTATTAATAAAAAATGCTACTTTACCTTGTATTTCCCTTGATCACATCCACACAATGTGCTTTCCATGGTGTAACTTCTTTGAACACCTATCTCTCGCCACACTACAACGCGTGCTGTAGATTCCTTTGATTTTTCCACAACAAAACTGCAGCTGCTCATACTGAATGCTGGGGCTGCCTGGCTCAGAATCTTAGGGAGAGTCTACCAAAAATAAGTAACAACAAATATTATAGAAAAAATCTCTGTGGCTTATATATCCTTAAAGTATAAATTTGGGTACAGACATCTCCCTCTGAATGGTAAGGGAATATACTGTATGTCAATAGGAAGTGCAAATTACAAAGCAGTGCTGTATGGAGAACCCAGAACCAAAGATAAAATAGCTCTGATATCAGAAAGTATGGAGTTTTTCTTGATACTGGAAAATCTATGGACTCTGTTATGGCATGGCATTTTTTGAAGATTTCTGAAAATCCTTTTTCTTCACACAGCACATTTGTTACCACAAGATGTGTTGGTGGCCACTAACATAGATTGCTTTAAAAGAGGATTCGATAGAGGCATATCAAGGATTATTAGCCTTGAAGACTTAAAGTTACTTCTGAGTAGAAGGATAGTCATCCAAATGCCAAATGTAGAGAAACAAATATGAATCCGTTTCCAGCTTATAAGCATATGACTACCCAAAGTGAGACCAAAATGCCAGACTAGAATGAGTCTTGGTTGGCGAAGCTCTTAAATTCCTTTTCTTTAAGCTCCATGCTAGATGAACACTATTCAATTAATGACTTTCTTAATGTTGGTTTTTTAAAAAAAAATCTTTTAAAAATATTTTAGACTGATTATTATTCCTCTACACAGCATTCTTCTTTTGTCTCCATGTGAAATTGATGTATACTGAATCAGATATTAGTTCATCTATCCCAGTCATCTCCTGACTATTCAAGCTCTCCCAGCAATTAGATGCTGATTTTATCATGCCATTATACATTCATTAGCCTTTGGGGTGTCTTTGGTTATCATAATCCGATTGTTCATGTACTGAATATACTGGCAGTTTTAAATGAAAACTCTGGAATATAAAATAAATATTCTGAGCTGAGTTTTAGTCATGTTCCCAATTTTATTTTGTTTAAATATTAGTTAGAATTTAACCTCTGTTTACACTACTGTTAGCAAACTATTATTCAATGAAAATAGTACTGATAAAAGAAACACAAACCATAAACCTTAGGCATGTACCTACCTGCATATACACACAAATATCTACTTACCCTATAACCAAGGTCTTCAATCAGATCACAAGACGCAGCACTAACATTAGTGTGCCATATTGTTTCCTTGATGCTACAGCCATACATAAATACATTTTTCTTGCGAGAATGGCCATGATAGTCACAAAAAACCTAGAAAAAAGTATTTTTCAAAAATTAAAGGTGTATTCAACATAAAATTCAACCATCTATCTAGAAACAAGCAATAAGATCCTTTAGAAAACAAATGCATTCAGTAATATGAACCCTTGAGTAAAATCTTCCGATAGATGTATTAATTTAAATTATTTTTATTAACATTTAAAAAAGAATTTTTAATAAACAATTTAGATCAAGCTTGTCAGTTATAGTTCTTCACAAATTTCTTGGAAAAATATAATTTCAGGTGGTTAAATGTGAATTTACAACTCAATAAGGTATTCTACACCATTAATAAAGACATATTTTGTTTAATTTTAAAGAAAATTTAAAAATCAAGTAAGGAAATAGTACATAGTATTGATTGTTCATATGTCTGCTTCTTTCACGTTTTTAAAATGATAAATAAGTGAATATTTATAGTCTTAGATGAATGGTCCTATAATAGGAGCTGAATTATTCCTGCCATATTTCACAGTTACTGTAACTAATTTCACTGTTATTAATTTTTCTCCAGCACAGTTCTAAAACCACCAGTAACATGACCAAGAAGGCAATTCCTTAATGCTTTTACAAAGAATTAAGGGAGTTTTAACTGCCATTACCAGCACATCTTTTAAATGTAAAGTTCACATTTTAAGTGATCTTTTTTCTTAACTAAGAAATCACATGCTTACCAATGGCAAACGTTTTATAGCTGCCAAATATTGAAGCAGACCTTTGGCATGATAAATTGTGGGGTGCAGATCCAGGTTTGGGTTTTGCCACTGCCTATTCAAATCCTCCCCACTTAAGGAACAGCGATGGCTACAAAACAAAAATTAAAAAAATCATCCATTATAACTATTTCATTCTCCAAGAAAATGAATGTTAAAATTTGTGTGGATGTTAACAATTTCACTGCAAGTGAAAGGAAATTCTTCTAAAGCAGGGATGTTCAACACTGGCAACTTTAAGACCTGTGGACTTCAACTCCCAGAATTCCCCAGCCAACATGTCTACAGGTTTTAAGGGTGACAAGGTTGGACACTCTTGATCTAAAATGCTGTTTCAAGCATTTAATATTTTAAGTCAGATAAACTGAATCAAATTGGTGGAAAGACAAAGCTACCACGCCTGTATTCTGTGTTCTTTTGTCAAACCACCCTTGACAAATGGTCCCAATAGCAGACATTGTTTTAAACTGTGAATAGGAGAAAATAGTTTTTCAGAAGTGTCATTGATTTACTTTCTAGGTTTCTACCCATTTTATGTTTTTTCTTTTTCTTTTTGTATTATAGCTGGAGTGGCATTTCAGAAAGTGCTCATTTGCAGAAAAAGTTATTATTTATCTCATCAGCCTTACATTCAGACTTATTGAAGTTTAAAACAGAAACAGTGAAATCGCAGGACTTTTATAATGTTTACTCAGGAGTGGTTTCCTGCCAGTTCTAACCTCTTTTATAGAAGAGGTTCCACAAATCTACAGTGCAGTTTAGAACTGGTTCCAGCTCCCTCCCCCTGCCCGTCTGCACATTATCAAGATGAAGAGTGGGAGGAGGAATTCTGGGAGTTGAAGTCCACAAGTCTTAAAGCTGTCAAGTCTGAACACCCCTGGGGTTTTTTTTTCTAAAGGGTTAGGGGTGCAAGGATCTTGTAACTTGACAACTTTAAGACTTGAGTGCTTCAAATGCCAGAGTTTTTGAGCCAATATTCTGGTTGCTAAGCAAGAGCGTTGTTAAGTGAGTTTCACCACATTTTACAAGTTGGCCACCCAGTCACATGGCCGGCAAGCCACTCCCATCCAGTCACATGGCCGGAAAGCCACTCCCACCATCACATGGCCAGCAAGCCACTCCCACAAAGCAGGCCACACCTACAGAAGAGGTTCTAAAAAAATTTGAAACCTGCCACTGTGTTTACTTGATCTCATAGGGTACTCATTAAGCATTACTAAATCTAGATTTACCCAATCATTTTTAAAATTACAAATTAAATCATTCTGAAGGTGCCAGGTCAACTGAAACTCTCAATTATGTAGCATTGAAAATAGGAGTCAACTCTTTAATTCTTAGAGTGATTCAGAATCTGAATAAAGGCTTTAACGCTTATTGATCCAAATGAATTGTGTCATTTAGCTTTCCATGAAGTTTAAATCCGAGAGATAAATGCTCTTTGACTGTGTGAACTTCAAAGCATGACACTAGATGCAGCAAAATATTTTTACATCATGGAAATGAAACACTAGTCCTCTGGGTCTGTAAAAAACAAACAAGCCAGCATTTTCCCTCAGCATTATAAATAAAGTCAGGCCATTTCAGGATAAGAGAAACTCTGCTGGACCTTGTCAAAGCTCAGCAGATGAGACTTCTGCCTTAGAACTGAACAGTTCATTATTACTTTTAAATAAAAGACAGCTGGGTTAAGTGTAGCAGACTTGGCTGAAATCAGTCTAATGTGAGGGATAGGATGCTTGGCTTCAGTCAGCCCAGGGGAGAAATTATGGAGAGAATAAATCCCACTGAATTGAGCAGAATACACAAAGGATTATACTTAAATCTTAGAGATATTAATACAATATAGGAGCAAGATTCATGGAAGGAAATTCTATAGATTTTACTATAAAGTAAAAATGTGCTTCATATTAATAGCCATTTGCCTAGACGGATATTATCTCCTACTGAAATTCCTGGATTTAGCTGAAATACTTTTTAATGTTGTAACAAGCCTCAGGCAGTAGCAGAAGAATTAACGTCTCTGGATTACCTCTCATTGATAAAGAAAGCAGATTGTACTAAGAGGAATTTCCCTAAGGAATTGTTAGTACATTTTGCCTATTGAAGTCAGCCTTTACTGCAAATCACATCATATTATATGGGTTTTGGGGATTTAATAGAAAACTCAGTACAAAACATTATTTCAACAATTTTTTTAATTAAACAAATAGGCAGCATCTGTTTTGCTTTTCCAGACAAGATTTATAAACATATTGTAATTTATAATCAGAATGTTCATTCCACAGCTCCCTCTTCCCTTTGTCCATTCAAAGATAAGCAAGGTAGCTTGAGATTTTTTTGCAATGGTACTGAACTTTTGTCTACTCAATTGTGTAGCTCAAGCTTCTCTATGCATATTTATGCTTTATATTTAATACTCTTAATGTGTATAATCCCTCTGTAGTTCTAAAAACTATTGCTATCTAGAATTAAAGAAAGGGTTTAAAGATGCTGCCAGCAATTTCTGTCTGTCAGTTTAACAGCTGACTAGTAAACCTCTTATTTTCTGTCATCTTCAACCCACATCAGAGATCATCTGCAAAAGGTGGCTCAAGTCCTATGATGGGTTTTGATATACTTTTCTGGCTCATATCAACAACTGTTTCAGATGTTTTCCACCATTCTGTAAGCAGTGTAACACTACCCTGTCCATTATAGGATTACCAGCTTTTATAAGCATTCTGTCTGGATATTTATGCAGACAAATTAAGAAATAAACTCCATAGAAAAGATAAAATGTATTAATACTGTGAATTAGGGAAATTCTGTGCGAGCTTTTTGCTCAAACCTTTTGCTTGTTTGGGGCTTAAACCACATTTTCCCTCTTATCATGTTGGTAACAGATCTGGTCCATCAACATTGGTATTATTTTCTTTAATATCTAATTTTTCCAAGACCTAACCAATCTTCAACAGCCACCACATCTAGATCAGCATATTGATAACTTTAAGATGTGTTGACTTCAACTCCCAGAATTCCATGAATGAATGAATGACTCCGCTTACATTTGTCTCTCTAGGATATACACTTTGCAGGGTCCTTTAGTAATTTTAAGACTCACTTCTGATACCAACCTTGTAGCACTTATTCCTCTTCTAATCTTAGCATTCCTTATTGGCTAAGAAGTAAAAACCACGCTTTCATTTTCCCGGACTGGTACACAAAAAAACAGCAGGAAGCCATCCCTGAGTGCAGGTTGTCAGAAGGAGGAACAGTAACAGCACTGCGCTTAATAATAGGTATATCTTCATTTGGGATAAGTTAACATTATATTTGATTTAATTACACCACAAAGTGCCATACAGTGTGATTACTTTTGGTTCAATAATTGAAAATGAGAAACGATTATGGAAAGTAGATTCTGAACATATACTTAAAATACTATTTTTAAACAAAAATGTACTTACTAAATGCACACATGTGATTGAAGAAAAGTAACTGTTCACTTAAAATAACATAGCTGTGTTAGCTAGTTAAGTTTCTAGAAGATACAGTTGGCAGAAAAGTTCTGATGTAGAAAAACTATATTTCAAGCATAGCTATCTTGGGATAACTACAGGAGAATGAACTCTGTTGCTAAATGTAATCAAAAACTTACTTTCCATTGATGACCCCATCAGGATTAAGCATTGGTACAATTTTAAAAATATAGGATTCTCGCAAACTCTGGGCACCAGGAGTATTACTCATAAGATACTCCAAAGTTCCCTTCATAACCCAACTTGAATTGGTCTCTCCAGGATGTACACGCGCAGATAAGAAAATATACGGACGATTTCCTAAAAACAGCACAAATAAAATAGCATGATATAGCCATCACTGAGTTGGAAAGACCTTAAAAATATACTAGAACATCCCTGACAAATTAATCACATTATTATCTGCTTGTTATATATTCATAAAAATAAAAATAAAAACTTTAGTCTTCCAGGCAGCATAATAGTTTATGAAAGCACAAGGTATAATCAGCATATTATATCACAATATTATAATCAGTGTAATGTTCCTTGAATCAATTCAGTGGAAGAGGGAAGAATCTGTTTGCACTGACATTATTTTAAAATTCCACTGAATTTTAAATTTTGTGGCAAGGTTACAGCTAATTTTAATACTACTTGCTAAAATATTATTTTTTGTAATTGGTTTTTGTACTCTTTCCCGAATATCACAAAAATGCCACCTAATCCCACTGTTGCTGAAGCATATCTCGAACTTTCATTCCTCAAATTAACTGAGAACGGTTGTGGCCAATGTTTTCTGTTGCATGCCTATGGATTATTATAATTGAACAGTACAAAGAAAACACAGGTTTTATTTGATTTGATACTTTCTGAATATAATCAAAAGGAAAAGGCTATACTTACTGAACTGACAAATATGTTCATAGTAATTTGATTCTGGCATGGCTGTAATAGTTACTACAGGACAGTTATTCCCAGAGAGAGTCTCACATAAAAGATGTTGCCGAAAATATATCTGCTGAGGATTGTTTGTGGATTCTAATTTTTGGAGATGCATCTTCATCATGAAAAATAAGTTTATAAATTCAGAGTCACTTTTATCCTTTAATTTAGCATAAAAACTTAGCTAAAATATCTAACAGAATTTCTAAATTCATCATTTATAATATTGCATCTAATGTTTTAAATATCAAGTATTGTCTTAGTGTACAGATGCAATGAAGGAATAAAAATAATTATAGGCGCAAAATCTTACGTAAAATAGTGAAGCTTGAATTTATTAAACTGCATTGTTAGTAAGAAAGAGTTTATAAATTGTACAAGATGTAAACTTACATTATATTAAGATATAATCAATAGATAACGCATAATATTGGAACTTGTGGTATCATCATTAGCAATAGTGTATAAAAATACTAAACTATTGCAAGTAAATTTTTTTTTCACAATGGAAAGCCATCAAAGAAATTCACTATGCATTTAACCTAAGTTAGTATAACTACTATTATTATACAGTATATGCAAACTAAAAATGTATGATATGTCATCTGAAGGAACCTTTAAAATATCTTATTTATTTTCAAAGCTTGCTAATTCATTGTTTCCCATTTCAATGCAAATGTTCTTTATCGGCATAAAAAGATTAAATGTTGGTAAATTCTCTCTTTCTGCAATTTAAATGTTCACTCTGTGCTGTAAAAGCCATTTTGTTGGATATTATGGGGAAGAGTTAAATGCAGGCTTTCTATTCTATGAATGGAAAGAAATGTCTTATTTAAAGAAAGGGACTAAGATCAAGTAGATGTTCCCCCGTTCCAGAAGATTCCCTAAAAGTCAAGTTCTCTGACTAGTGGAAAATAATAATCCAGAGGGCGCATATTTCTTAACAAAAATGAAGTTACACTGAAAATAGCCTACGTGATCAGTGTTTCAGTATTTCAATACTCATATAGAAGTCTACTTATGTTGTGGCCCAACAGGATCCAGTTGAGTTGCTAATGGACTCGGATAGCGAGGAACCATATGAGTCTGCGCTGGACGATATGGAGGACCCTGGGCAGGGTTCAGACTCGGAGCAGGGACCAGAGAGGCTGGAGGAGCCTGAGGCATGGAGCAGTGGGGAGGATCAAAGGCAGTTTGTCTCTGATGCTAGATTGAGAAGGGCTGAGAAACGGAAGCAGGAAGCAGCAACTCCGTAGGCAGACTCACAGAAGATGATTAAGCACAGGTGGTTGTTGATTGGCCCCTCCCAAGAGAGATTATAGGTGAGTCATTGGGAGGAGACATTTGCAGGAAACAACCATTCGAATTAGTAGTTAAGAAAATCTATCTGTGTATTCTAGCCGTGTCTGTTCGTTTGGACTATCTGCGTTGCTTTGTTTGAACTATCTGTGTATTCTACCCGTGTCTGTTCATTTGGACTATCTGCATTGCTTCGTTTGGACTATCTGCATTGTTTCGTTTGAACTATCTGGGTTGCTGCAGAGCTACTCTATTGAACGTGAGTTGCCTGGGCCCTCAGCCAAAGGAATCATTATCTCAGTAATTGAACAGTGGCAAAAAGCCAAGACTTTGTTCTGGTTTATTCACAGGTCAGGGGGTCAGAACAAATTACTATGTTATAAGCAATTTTATAAGCCCTCCCCCAAAAATAAAACCCCTGGACAACCACCACCCCTTCGGCCAGGCAGAGCGCCGCTCACCGACCTAGCGGTATTCCAAAGGTGCCAAGCTGTGGGAACAAGGTGGGGGGGCAAAGGCTTGCATTGCTTGGCACCTTCGGAATACCGCTAGGTCGGTGAGCAGCACTGTGCCCAGCTGGAGAGGGGGGTTGATGGGTGGCTGCTCTTTTGTGAGCGGGCTCCTGAAGAGCCGGGCACAGCCTCAGGGTCGAACGGCTGTGTTGCATTGTCGCAGCAGCACTATAAAGCAGCCATGAGATGACCATGCTCACGGCAAACCCCCCTTTCCAGCTGGGCACAGTGCCATTCAGTGACCTATGGGTATCGCCAGCGGCTTTTCTGCTCCCTGTTCACATGCCTACCAGGCTCACGATGTCCTTGCCTAACTCTCCCTGCAGAGCCAGGGCATCTCCGCTGCCGCCGCCACTCTAGGAGTACGCTCTGCCGGCAGCCAGCCCACAACCATAGAGCATACTCCCAGAGCAGCAATTGCCGGAAGACTCAGCATCCTAACTCCATGCTTTGGAAGTCGCAGAAAAAGCCATGCGGCAGTGACAGACAGCAGCAGAAGTGGAGGTGCCCTGGCTCTGCAGGGAGAACTGGGCCAGGACATCGTGAGCCTGGGTGGCATGCGAGCGGGGAGCGGAAAAGCCGCTTGTGCAACTCCCTCTCCAGCCATGCAGAGCCTCGTTCACTGACCTAGGGGCATTCCAAAGGCGCCAAGTCACGGGAGCCAGAGGGCGGCAAACAGGCGTTCACATGGCTTGGCGATACTCCTAGGTCAATGAATAGTGCTGTGCCTGGCTGGAAAGGGGGGTTGCTGGGCAGCTGCTCGTGAGTGTGGTCACCTCATGGCTGCTGTGTAGTGCTGCTGCAACAGCGCAACACAGCCGTTCAACGCTGAGGCTGTACCCGGCTCTTCGGGAGCCCACTCGCAAGAGAGCAGCCGCCCAGCAACCTCAAAACAATAAGCCCTCCCCTGATAATAAGGCCCAAGCTATATTTTGTGGGTAAAAAAAAATAAGACCATGTCTTATTTTCGGGGAAACACGGTAGAACAAAACAAACAAAAAACAAACGAACATCTTGCTCTGAAATTCTTAATATGAGATCTCATTGCAAAATACTAAACTTTTTCCAGTGTTTGTAAAAATCTGTAAAAGACATTGCCTCCATAGGATTATTTAACCTCAACTTTTATTTATTTCACAATACAGAACTTTATTTTTTGAATTTTGTGATAAATACTGAGCAATATAATTATTTAAAGATATAATCATCAAATAATGAAATTATAAGTAAAGTTATTATGAATGTATTCATATTAAAATAATTTACCATTAAAGCTGAGTAAGTATAAGGATAATGGTAAGCAAAATAGCAAACATCATCCTTATGATGAAAGGTGACTGTGAAAGTGATTGTATAATAAGATTTTCCTTTTTGACCTCCTGCTGCAATTGAACTTCTTGAAAAATGATTCCTAGGAACAAAACATGTACATTATTATAAAGATATATAAAGGGCATCATTTTATGTAGTAAATTGGTATTTTTTATTTTGAACCAAATAATAATGTTTAATATCTCAGTCTTAATTTCTTTATTTTGAAATGTTTGTTACCAATGTAGTTAATGCATTTAAAAGCTATTCTATTCTATTCTATTCATTATTTTATCAGCATTATCAACTACAAAGTGCAAAGAAGACTTTGGGCCTTCATGAGCCACAAGTGATGCGCCTTGTGATATATAATGTCACTATTCCCCACTGGGTAGATAATGGGAAAAATTTTAACTCTTGTTTTCTTCTGGAAGAAAGCAAGCAAAAATTTAAAGTACAAAACAGCCACAATGAAATCTCATGCTAGTTTATCACATCTATCTTCTATTTAGTGGGGTCAAAATAGGTCACACAATATTTCCATTAAAACTGGGTAGATGCAAAATGGGTTCAGGAGTACATATAGCCAGAGTGCACTAGATTTACTGTTAGCCTTACTTGTAGTAACAGATATCTGTTCCTGTACGAATCCACGAAGGCCGACCACTCAGGGCTTCTTGAACAGAGTACATAAGGGGTTGCATACCTTTGAGAAAAATGTACTCTATTAGAGAACGCAACCACCCATATTCAGCAAACAAATATACCTCTCTAAAGACATTGTTCTCAGCATCACATGGGAAGATAACTTTTGATAAGAATGCAAATTTATTATTAGAGTTATTGCAGAAGGTGTAGAATTATTGTAGAATTCATTGTAAAATTCAATATTTGAAGGTTCTTATGGCCTGTATATATTATGAACTGTTAAAACTAACAGTGACAGTCAGATAATCTGGCTTCTGTCTCTTGTAAACTATGGGAACAATATACAATTACCAACCAGTACAGAAAGCCCTAGCATAATCTAGAGCGTAACAAAAATTCTTGGAGTAATCCCCTTTACATTCTCTTCTAAACTGGACTACTAAAATCAGTTGCAGCTACTATCTGGAGCAGCAGAGTATAATTTAAATAAGCTGCCATTCAGGTTGCAAGTCAAATCTAAGCCACAATTTGCAATCCTTCTTTGGAATCTCGATACAAGGACAAGCTGGTTTGATCAAATTTCTGTTTGTTTAATTAAAGCTTAGAGAAAAGAAAAGAGAGCATGAAAAAAGAAAATTAAGTTTTTGTCCTTTAGGTTATCAATAGTGGTAACTGACATTTCAATGCTACTTCAGTTTTCATGCTAGGTTCTCTATCTTACTATCTGCTCCTTAGAAATCTGTAAATAATTTGTCTATCTCAACTTGATAACCTTTTTTAAATTAAAAAAATTGTTATACCACTTCTCTGTGCTATTACTGATATTCTGCAATTATCTTTAGTTTTAAATTAACATACTGGTATTATCTAAATTGTCTAAACTACTTCCCCATGCCTCTGTTTGGACTATGTCTGTCCTTTTTTTTTCCCAAGAGAAAAGTAAATTAACTCTTACCATAATTAAACTGACTGTTTGTCTTTTCACAGTTGATTATATTAAATCGGTAGGCACTGCCTGTTCGCATTCCACTGACTTCAAAATAAAACCACTGATGATAATGATTGCTGTTTATATCAGAATTCAGAATGAGATCATACTCATTTCTAAAAATGAGCAGAAATAAATAAGTCACAAAATTCAAGTAACTGATCTATAATGATTAAATAAAATAATAACAATATCTTACTTTCTGATCTGAATAACTTTCCGTAAATTTCCTGATTCAAATTTGGAGTTAAACTTCAAGACATCTCCTTCATCAGGCACTGGACAACTGGAAAATAAAATTACAATGATTTAAAAATGATTAATTTTTTGTATTGAATGTGAAGTAGACTGATTGGGGAAGAATACAAGTGAACCAGAGCGCCAAGTCTTGTATATTAAATTGGTTTAAATTATACTGAGTTCCCCAACATAGTTAATGTGAGCTAATGAAAATATAAACTGCAAGCGTGTTTTCTATGTTACAGAACAGTGGGACTTCTTTACATTAAAAAATTCAGATTTCTAGCTGAAATATCAACATACTATTATATAGTACAGGCATTTTTTAATTTTTCTGTCACTGCATTTTCTTGTTTCTTTTCCGAGGCTGAAACCTTGTTCATATTTGCATTAGGAGGATAAAATTTTAAGTATTTTCAATTCAGTGAAATCTCTATAAAATTCCTTGATATAATGTCAGATACCTGACAGATATCTGTTTCCTCGAAAATAAGATCTCCCCATATAATAAGCCCAATCGGGCTTTTGAGAGCATGCACTAAAATAATCCCTCCCCAAAAAATATTTTGCCGAAAATATTGCAACACAGCAGCAGCCATGAGGTGACCACACTCAGCGCCTCTTGCACCTCAAAAATAATAAGACCTCCCCCAAAATAAGGTCAAGTGCTTATTTCAGGGGGGTCGGGGTCAAAAGAAAATAAGCCTGTCTTCTTTTCTGGGAAACATGATAGTAGTTCAAGTTAGCATTGGTATTTACATCATTTTCATCAATTTATGCCATCTTTTGTGAACATTGTGCAAATGGCATGATGTGTTTATTGGCTTCATTAGAAAAATGGCATAAACCCTTCCTTCCCCACTATAGTCATTAGACATTCATTATTCCTCCTTTCCATCAATAAGTCTGTTAAAAGAAGCATTACATCAACTACTATAAAAAGAACAGTCTTGTTTCCAGCTGTGCTCTTCCAAACTGTTCTGTAGTATTAGGTGTTCTTGTCTATGAATGTGAAAGAACATGGAGAAACAAAAGAAAACTCTGGCTATTATTTTATTTTGTTTAATATATTTAGTTTAAAATTTGCAATTTTACTCCTAGAACACTTGATTAAAAAAAACACCTGAATTTCTCATTCCCCGGTTAAAAGACAGCAGAAATGTTCCTCTCGGTAATGTTCAATAGTGCTTGTGAAGATTAGTACCACTTGTTGATGGATTGGAATAGGGCTTTTTTCTTTTTCAAGACATTTATAATTCATTGGATACCAAACAGTTCCCTAAAACTAAAAGATCTTGAAAGCTATGTATTAAAATACAATGAATCCTGGCAGTTCCCTAAAACTAAAAAATCCTGAAAGCTGTGTTTTATAATACACTGAGTCCTGTTTTTTTAATTAATAACATTATATTTAGTTTTAATTTTCACTATGTATTAAAATTAATTCATCTTAAAAATAAAGTACTCTACCTCTAGCAAGTTTTTGACTTTTGCAACTTCATACTGTAAATAGCCACAGTAACTATCATACTCCCATTAATGTATATGTTTTCCTAAATTATTGAATCTAAAATGGGAATGTAATCATTATGGAATAGGTGATTAATCATTATGAAATAAAGATTTTCATATAAAACTTACCTGAGATTATCAAGATCATATACAACTCTGTCTATAATATCATTAGGATGAATAAGTCTTTCAATATCCTGGGCAATTTTTGTCCTATTTAGAAAAGGAAGTAAGATGCCATATTTCAAAATTTTTACAGTACAGTGCCACATGTAGAATCAGTTCATAAAGAAAGAAAGAGGAGTTTGAAAGTCAAGTTTCTACTTTAATATACAGTATTATTTGTGGAACTTGCCACAATTGTTTTCTGAACAGAAAGAAAATGGCTTGTACATAACACATTGAGGCTTTCAGACCCAATGTTTGGTTTCCTTATTACAGGAAACATGCCCATTATGTATTAGCATTTAATGATTATTTCAATTAGTATTAGTAATTAAAGCTAGTTCAGGTTTGAAAATCGGTTATATTAAAAATTCATGCGATTATAGTTTGAATACATTGCAGTGATTGGGTTAGAGTGCAAGCCTCTCACCTCTGGAAATTTCTAATTAAATATGATGAGCCTCTCAATAGAAAAAGAGAGATGCTTTTTTCAGCTATGTAACCATACTGTAGAAACTGCTGTATTAAATTAAATATCTGAACATAATACGTATGAGAGAAACAATTTGCTGATGAGTGGGTATCTATGTGTTTATGTATTTGTCCATGGACCCAATTTCCTACAAGACATGTTAACCATGTAGAAATTTTCCTGAAGATCACTAACCAGCTGAAATTCCTACACTGAAAAGTTGAAATATAGCAAATTTTAGTCCTTTCAAGAGCTACACAGGAAACCATGCGTCTCACAAAGCAATAAAAGAGCACCATACATTGAGATGTTTTTGATAGAAATAGTCTGTTACTATTGGGAAAACTGCCTCTCATTTCAATGTATATTGACTCAGATGGCTTCTGTTTTCATTTGAGATGTATTGCAGATATTTCTTGCATCTCAATCGAAACGTTGAGCTACATCTGGATAAGTAACAGAACTCTTAAAGTTGTCTCTTCATAAGGCATGTCTGAAGTTTTCTCAAGTATAAACTCAGAATGGCTGACCATGGATTATCTCAAGGAAAATCTTGTTAAAATAAATTATTTCTAAATATTTCATTTCATATATTTCATATCATATATTCAAATATATGGGAACCCTTGCTACCTCCAATATATATAATGCACAATATTTTTTTGTTTCTAAGACTTTGACTCCTAAAGATATTTCAAAGATATACAAAATCTTTGTTTTATATCCAAGAATATTAATGGTACAATTAATATGAAAAGCCCTTAAGTTTCCATCAATAGCAATCCTTCATTGTTAGAATGACTTATTGTTGTTTACTTATTTTATATGGAAAATGTTTATAACTATACATAATTATCAAAAAGCAGAAAACTGCACTTCAGCAAAGAAAAATATTTTAATTAATATTTATTTGAATTATTTTCACATTATTCATTTGAGCTTAGCCATGGGATAAAGAAGATATCCCAAAAATAATGCACATATAGAATGGAATGACAAACTGGCAGTAAGAACACAATGCTATCCCAATTGTAAACTATTGTTAAAAGAATTAACAGAGACAGCAATCAAGATGAAAAAATATATTTGAATTTGTCCACACTAAGGTACTTGTCCATGATAAAAAAACTAGAAAGCATTTCACCTTACTTGTCCAAATTCATACACTTTACAGCAAGTAAGCATGCCCCACAGGAAAGTTAACTGTTTTAGTAATAAAATCAAGACATATTTCACTTTTTCGAATGTCCTCATTTAAGCAGATTCATGAAAAAGGCACATTCAGAATTTAAAATACACCACTAACATTTTCAGGACTTGATTATGAAAAAATGATCTATTTCTCCTTATTTCAAGACTAACTAAAATTCAACAGTTTTGAAAATGTTTTTTTGATGCAGTACTTGTATATTAAATGAATGTTAGAATCCTCCTTCACCTAAGTTATCATTTGTGACATATTTCCATGAATTCTATCTGCCTGTTCACTTAGCAAACCAAAACTATTTCAAGAAATATATAGCAGCTTTCCGCCTGATTTATTCTACAGCTAATTCTATTTTCTCCGCATTTTTCAAAACCAATACAGGCAGTACTCAATCTGCAAGCACAATTGGTACCAGAATTTCTGTTTTTAACCAAAGCAGTTGTTAAGTGAATTGTGCCCAATTTTATGACCTTTATTTACCAGTTAAGTGAATTATTATAGTTAAGTGAATCATGTGGTTGTTAAGGAAATCCAACTTCCTCCATTGACTATGCCTGTCGGAAGCTGGCTGAGAAGGTTGCGAATGGTGATCATGTGATCCTGGGATGATGCAAATATCATCAATAAATGCCAATTGCCAAGCATCTGAATTTTGATGATGGGACCCTGGGGATGCTGTATCAGCTATATAAGTCTTTTTTTTCAATGACACTGTGATTTCAAATGGTCATTTAATGAATGGTTGTAAGTCAAGGACTACTTGTCCCATTAAACTTAGATAGGATCTGAAATATGAATCTCAACTCTATTGTTTCTCTATAGCCATGCTGCAATTATATTTCTTTATAATTATAGTTACAAATGTATCAATTCAGGCTATGACTTATGCACAAGCGCAACTCTGAAATGACTACTGGCTTTATGTATTACTATAGCGCTAACCTTAGTGATAATTTACATATGTTAAATCAATTTTTATAAGTCATTTTGATTGAGAAAGGAAGAATAAATATGAATCTCTGCATGAGTTTCCCCTTCCCCCTCCATCAATTTAAAAAGCAAGGTTCAAGGAAAATGCACACACCCATTCACTGCCAACTATTGTCAAAAAGGAGTTTAAGAGACCCCGATGTTATGGAGAAATATCCAATATTTCTTTCACATACATCAGAGTTCGCATGTGACTGGCAGCCATTCTCTTCTTCCTTGTGGAAGAAAAGGAATAAAACATGAGATTATGCAATATCTGAGAATTCTAAATGTTCTATATTCTTTGATGCAGATGGTAATATTTTTCAGTATAACATAAATCATTTTACATTTTATAAAGAGATTTAGCATTTTATCCCAGTAAACTACACATCCATATAAAAAGGTTACAATCTAATATTTAGAATGTTCCAATGCAAATTATCAAAATGATTAGTTATTTAAATGTTAAGATACATAAAATGATCGGAAAAGGTTTCATGGATGTATTACTGAAACTCTCCTCTCTGTCTGTTTGTAACCTTAAATTGAGCAAAATGATGCATGACATGGCAACAAATTTTGAGTCAATTTACTTCAAATGGGCTAACTTACAGGGAGCATCCAAAAACTGTAAACCATGATTCTTGTGGGGTTGAAATTTGGCAAAGCTGTGGTCACTTCAGCACTGCTATAGTCAGCCACAGTCATATGATCATCATTTCCAATATTCCTTGCCAGCTTCCCACACGGAAAGTCAATGGGGAAGCTGGCAGGAAGTTGGAAGTTACTGTTGCTCCCTCTAATCTTTTGCCCACCTGTGATCATTTTGTTTCTGTCTAGGTAAGGAACTACCGTATTTTTCGGATATAAGATGCATCTTTTTCCCTCAAAAAAGAGGCTGAAAATCTTGGATGCGTCTTATACACTGAATATACCATTTTTGCCACCCGAAACCCCACCCCCTTCACCAAAATGGTCGTGCATAGCTTGTAGGAAGCTTTTAGAGAGCTCCTGGGGGCTGGGGAGGGCAGAAATGAGCAAAAAAAGGCCCATTTTTTGCTCAATTTTAACCCCAGCCCCCAGCCCCCAGGAGCACTCTGCAAACCCCCTAAAGGCTATTTGTGCCTTTTTGGGGGGGGGGGAAACGGACTCATTTTCACAAAAAATAGGCTGTTTTGGGGAGGTTTACAGAGTGCAAAAACTTTTTTTTTTTATTTGCCTCTTCAAAACCTTGGTGTGTCTTATACTCCGAAAAATACGGTATCTCTGAAACAATGCCCAACAGGTCACAGATTGTCTAGTAATATACAGAATTCTGCATTCTCAAAATGTTCTCATATATTACCTAGTAATACAGTATTTTTCTTTACGGACAGGCAAATCAAAGAAGTTGAATCCAAAATTTCTGAAAGGAATTTCATAATTAAGTGGGACCTTTTACTTTCCCTTCATTTTTTCAGCATTCCAAAATTTTCTCTTGACAATTTGAAGTTCATTTGAAGGGATATGGTGAGAAGGACTGCAGGGCTGAATGGATGAAAACTGCCTTTCTTTCCTTCATTTATAGCATCAATCTTGGATCCAAATAGTATATTCCATTAATAACTGTTATATTTGAATCTAGTAATATTAATTTTACTGTGAATGATACACAAACATTATATTAAATCCTTCTCTAGACATGTTTGAGGAGAAAAAGATGAACTTACCTCTGTACACCATATGGTCTGTCAAGGATAGGTTCTTTAAATGGAGGTGGAATATGTCCAAAATAATCAGGATAAGCAACTTCAGAATATTCAGGAACAGATCTAGTATTTTTCACTGTTTCAATATAGAGTTCTGGATCATGCAATTGTATTGTATCAGGCACTTCAATTGTTACTTGCTCTCCTATAGAAACTGAACAAGATACTTCTTCTTCTTCAGGATCAGGTCCAGAACAGCATAGTTTTCCCAGCTGGACAGACCGTCCCTCAAACAAAACACTTCCACATGTTGGAACATGTTGAAAAGTTTTATTACAGGTAATTTCACTAATGCTAGTTTTACATTCGCTTTTTGTCACGGTCTTAGAAATTTTGGACGGTTCACTTTTGGAAGTATGTTGAAGTGAAATTCGGTCAAAGTCTCTTACAATTTCATGATTTAGGCACTGGCATGATGGAAGCAATCTCATTTGATCACCTTGATGCTGCAAACTATTATCCATGATACCATCATTTTTTACCAATCCCAAAAAGCCTGGTCTTTTATTACAGTCTTCACTTTGTAGATTACTCTCTTTCACAGGAAGTTGCATCATGTCATTTGTTAAGGATGGTTCCTCTCCAGCAGTGGGAACAACAATAGGTCCTCCTGGAGCTGAGTTGTTTGAAAAAGATTTTGGTTCCTTTGAAATGAGGTCACATTCCTTAATATTAAAGAAAAAAAAATGCCGGATACTTGTTAGAGGATTACAATATTAAATGTTGAAGAAAGAGCAATGAATCAGAAAGAAGGATCTGATCCAGACAGAAGGAATAAACCATGGAGAAATGGAGATAAATAATAGATAATTTCCTTTTGAAGAAGTTAAATGTGGAAAAAAATAATGACAATGTCAGAAAGAATTTACATGCTAATTAATATTGAAAGTGATATGGTTCACTTTACATGACTTATTGGATCAAATAAACATTCACCAAATCTGAATCCAAATTCTAATTCACATTTATTAGATACTATGAAGTCAGAAGAGAGCCAATTTGGTGTAGTGGTTAGGGCATCGGGCTACAAATTGGGAGACCATGAGTTCCAGTCTCCGTTGCAAAGAGAGTGAGTTGTCTAGGCAGTCTCCAAGAATTGGCGACAACTCAACAGAAGATAATACAATCAAGTCATATATGGAAATTTCAAAAGGGTAAAAATATATCTGCTCCTGATTACTGGTAATTATGGATACAAACTTTGTACCTCAACAAAATTGAAGGATTACCCTTATGCAAATATATCAGACTCGTAGGTTTGGAAGAGACCTTGGAGGTCTTTGTCCAATTTCCTGCTCAAGGCTGGAGCCCCCTGCTCAATTTTTTTATATTCTGAATTGAATAAAGCAGGAATGACATACACAAACCTGCTCAGTTTTAATTCTGGTTTAATTCTCTATGAGGCACATTTCAATTAATGTGAACTTGATAAAAATAAAGTGCACAACCATTAAGACTTTCATGAATTTACTTAGCCATCCTAGTAGACAATATTTAACTTTTTTGTGTGTGTTTCAAGCTTAATTATCTTCATTTCATTCTCAGGCACAAATATTAATGATATTAACAAGTCTGTTAATATTTAACATTCTTAGGGTCTTATGATAGTTGAGAAGGCTTTTTTTGGGGGGGGGGGTACAGATATGCTATCAACTTAAATTCAATCATGGATTCCATCAAATAAAAAAAAACTTAGATACCTTAGAAGCAGCCATGACAATTGCCACTTTTGGGCTATCAAAACAATGTTTAAGTTGAAGAAACTGCCACAATTGTAAACCAGGAAGACCAAATTCCATTTTAAAGTGAAAAAAAATCCTTCATACAATCATTACATAACAAGTGATTTGAAGCGAGTATTCCAATTTTCACACAGTTTCCAATATAACATTTTATCACCTAATTTCAAAATAAAATTCTCCCGAAGAGTTAAAAATCCATGAGTGTATCAAACTTCAGTGTGTATCAGTGGTGGGTTTCAATTTTTTTAGAACCTATTCTGTGGGTGTGGCCTATTTTGTGGGCATGGGCTTGGCAGTCATGTGACCGGGCAGGTATCACTCATGACATCACTCATGCACACTCAGTCACATGACCACCACCTCCAAGGCATGTGGCAAATTTTTTTGGAACTCCTATGAGGGGGGGGGGAAGAGAGGGGAAAACCTCCCAAAAATAGACAACTGGAGGATTAAGGTCCGACATTAGGGAAATCAGAGAAGGCATGACAGAGAGAAATCCAGTAGAAAGCTATCACACATTGGGGAAAGAACTTCGGGAGATCGGTGGAGGCAAGACAGAGGGGAATCCAAGACAAAGCTACCACACATTGGGGAAAGAACTTTGGGAGATCGGTGGAGGCAAGACAGAGGGGAATCCAGTAGGAAGCTATCACATGCTGGGGAAAGAACTTTGGGAGATTGGAGGAGGCAAGACAGAGGGGAATCCAAGATAAAGCTACCACACGTTGGGGAAAGAACTTTGGGAGATCGGAGGAGGCAAGACAGAGGGGAATCCAGGAGAAAACTCCTGAGCTTGCCTCTGCTATCTGGTGGATTGTTCCGCTGAACCTCTCCAGCGGGTGGAGGTGAGCGTGGAGCGACAAGGCCGGGGCAGGCATTCCGGAAGTTACTTCCGGGGCCATTTCACCATCTGGTTCTCCCGATCCGATGCGAACCGGCAGAAATCCACCACTAGCGTGTATCCAATAAAGTACAAAGATTTCTCTCAGCATGCATCTCCAGCTATTAAATGCACAAGGAATAATATTAATTTTAATACAATTAATAAGATTAATTGTTCTGTAGACTAAGAGCATTTTAATTTATTTATGACTGTTTAGATCAGTCTTTTCTAAAAATGTCAACATGTTAATTTCCATATATTTAGAAAGATTTTGAGGAATTTAAAATGTCAAGTATTTAATCTAATCAGCAGAGATCACAAAACCCAACTCTTTGCAAAACAGAGCTCATATTAATAGAATATTTGTACTTCAGGGTTGAATTGTGGTGTCTTTAGTGCTCTCTGAGCTTGGTTATTTTCTTGCAGATGTTTCATTAGCCAAGTCGGTAACATCAGTATTGCTAGAAGGGAATGGAGTTGGTTTCTGTTCATATACAAGTGACTTGTCCTGGCAGTGGGACAAGTCGGGAATGTTCTTTCCTGAATAGGCTGTTGTTTACCTACTTGATACTGTAATTCCTTGATTAGGGTATACTTTATTGCTTGATGTTTATTTCTGAGTATTGATTGATGTGAGGAAATGTTTGGTCTTTTTATTTTCTGTTTGACTTTTTGATTGTATCTTTTGAGTGATATATAGATATTGTTAATTTCTATCTTCCTATTGATGGCGGATTTGTCTGAGTGCCAGGCTTCCAGGGATTCTGTAATATTTTTGGACTGCCTTGGTCTAGGATGTTCAGAATTTCCCAATTGAAACTATGGCTAAGCCTGTCCATGAATTTCCTAATTTTTTCTGATTTCAAGTTCATGAATGTGCTCAGCTAGTCTTCTGCCCGTTTGTCTTATACGGTGGCTGTTATGGTTCTTATGTTGTAGATGTTTCCTGCCCTTTTTTTTTCGGGGGCTGCTGAGTATTAGTCAGTTTGTGTGCCACAGTGATGCCATGAGGTTGTAATAGACTGTAATAATCAGTTGATGGTCTCATTTGATGTCACAGCATTCTTTACATCCATAGATGCAGAATTAGCAAAAGAATCCATAACAGCACTACTACATAGCACACCTGACCTGACCAAATACACCAAGATGTTTTTGATGTATGGCAGTGTTATTCTTTTCACAACTTGTGTTTGTTGTGGCTTGTAATATTGGGTTCACTAGTCAGGCACTTTTTGATAAAGTAGCATGGATACCAATTTTTATGGAAGATGTTATATAGATGATCTTTTTCCTTTTTCTAATGTTCAGGACTGCTGCAGTATATTTGTGCTTATCTAAATAGTATATACAGCTTCTTTTGTGGGAAATTGTTTCTTTGATAGTGGAGCACTTGGTTGTATGATAGACTTGTGTTTCTAATTTGTCATATTGCCTCTGTTGATGAAGAGATATCCAAGAAAGGTAGCATATTGTTGTTTTCTTCTTCCCTTCCTTTGAAAATGTGATAGTTTTATGCATTTTCTCTAGCTGGTCCTTTTTTATTATGACAAAGATGTCATCTATATACCAGATCCATACTTTTGGGTTGCATATCTGGCAATGCTATAGATTCTAAGCATTGCATTAGGATCTCTGCTATGAGTCCTAAAAATAATGATCCCATTAGCATTCCTTTGATTTGTTGATATATTTGTCCATTGGATTGAAAGTATGTGGTTAGGCAAAGGTTGAGTTTCATGATTCTGGGTATTTCAAACTTATTGTATTTGGTCAGGTCAGGTGTGGTGTGTAGTAGCAGTGCTGTTTTATGGATGTAATTCTGCATCTATGGATGTAAAGAGTACTGTGACATCAAATGAGACCATGATTTTATCTATGGTCATGTCTTTGATTCTTTGGAGGCATTCTAATGGGGAGTTGATAGAATATTTGCTTCCCTCTATTGGGTATCTAAGTTTTTCTGTCAGTCCTTTAGCAGGTTGGGGTCTCTGGTAACAATACAATTGGATGGAGAGATATGTCTGGCTTGTGTGAGAGGACAGGCCCATTGCTTTTCATTTGTTCTTGTTCTTCTTTAATAATTTAATCTTTAAGGTCGCTAAGAATTTTCTTGATATATAGCCCAAAGAATGTTGGCAAGATTTATTCCAGTTAATCTAATACACAGATTGCTTTCCAAAATATTCTATTATCCATATAAAATTAGGCAGAGAAGCGGCATGCTTATCTAAAATTACCAAAACATCACTGGTAAATTAAAATGACTAGATTTCAAAATAGTAGCATCCTTACCTGAAAATTCTCTGAGAGTTCTGGGAAAAATTGTTCATACATTCTCAAATCTTCCACCGGTCGCCCCAATTCCTGCTTTGGTTTCAGTTTATCAATATCTGTCTCAATGTCATCGTTCTAAAAAAAAAAAGTCCATAAGCATAATTAAAAAGCTTGGGGAATCTATGTTTTTAGTTAAAATGACTAAAATACTGAATACTTCTTAAAAATAAGGTTCTTCTAGGCTTATAGAGGAAAAACATCAAATCTTCTGATTGGTTGATGGAAACTGGTCACAACACACTGTGTGTTTTCCCTATCTCTGAGTCAGCAGAAAAACCTTACCAGCATAAAACTGGCTGTTCCCCATTACTGATCCCTATTCTGCCTCATCCCATTTCACTTGATTTTCCACCATGGGTGATAAAATTCTTCTGATGTCAGAATATATTGATCTTCGGCTATAATAAAATTTAAGGGAGTAGAATAAGAAGGAAATATATTGTAATGCCAATGTAGTTAAGAATGATTGCAGCAAGCTCACTCAAGCTGGTAAAAGATGAAGGCAGTTTCATAGATAGCCCCTCCCCCCAAAAAAGTGCAACACTCGTTAAGATGATACATGTAGAATGGAGGGGCACACCTCCTAAAAATAGGCCCTTCCAGATTTCAGGTGTTGCGCCAATGTCATGAGCTGATGCAGCATAACCAGATGTGAGATCCTTGTTTTATGAGGCTCAGTTGTAGGACTCAGTTGGGACTGCAGCCTGCTTACCTTCCTCTCTGCATGTCTATAGATATTCTCAGTCATCCATATCATGGTTGTCCCAAAGGTGCTTTTTCAAGGGGCAACTGGATTTTCTTGTTTTTCTTTGGAGACATTTTGCTTCTCATCAGTTGAAGAAGCTTCTTGGATGAGAAGTGAAATGTCTCCAAAAAAACCCCAAGAAAGTCCAGTTGCCTTTTGAAAAACACCTTTGGGATTTCCTCTCTGCAGTGTAGCAATATTCCTGCCCAAACATCTCAACTCTATGATCAGATTAGTAATGGAGTACACTAGGATTATGTTCTGTGTCCAAAGAATCAGTATTTTCTGGGCACATAGTCAGATGTGGCACAAGAGTTCATAGTAACTATGGATCTGATAAGAGCAGTAAAGTGAGCTTACTTCTCTACTCTTACTGCATTAGATTACCAGTTGCCTGACCAGGTTCCATTTGAGTAACAAGGAACCAGGGGAGCCCTTGCAGGTCTGCTTTGGGAAATAGTCTTCAGCATGGTTATGGCCACCCAAGAAGTTGGATCCAAGTGGTGACTATGCCTCATTGTGAGAAAGGATGGAAGCATCTGCCATGAAGGAGGTGTTGGCATACCCCTTTCTCAAGAGGCTGTTCTTGAACCTGATGAATAATTTTTGTTCACTCTTCATTCTTCCCTTTTTAGAGAAAATTGCTGAAAGAGCATTAGACACTCAGCTTAAAGGGGCCTTGGGTGAAGTGGATTTTTTGCCCCCCTTCCAACAGGGTTCAAACCAGATTATATACTGAGATGGCATGGGTTACACTTGCAAATGACCTCTGGAAGCTTCAGAATGCATCCAGGCAGATAAAGTGACTATCTATCCTCTAATAAGGGAGGAAATTTCTAATATGGAGGGACACTGCTAACCAAGCATGCTCAGCCTGGCCTTTGGTGAGGCAGTTGCTTGCCACGAGAAATCAGCTTTTCAAGGTTGCACACAACAATTTCCTAGCAAGACCTTAGGAAGAAGGCCTCACTTGGCCAGCAGCTGTCTTGCGAAAGGCCAGGCTGGGCACACTTCATCAGTATGAGGAAAAAAACGGGGGGGGGGGTCAGCTGGAGTGGTGGAATGCAGGGTGGCAGGGACTTCAATTTACAGTACAGTGAAGGTAACTGCAGCTGAATCTTTGTGCCACGCTGCTGGGCTAGGCTGGCTGGGTCTTCGTGCTGTTAGGCTGGGGCAGCTGCAGCTTTGTGCCACACTGCTGGGTTGGAGTGGCTGTGGCTCTGCATCACTGAGCAGAAGGGGCTGCATGCTGTGACTCTGGGGCTATGCAATCCACTTGTGTCATCCACTTGCTTCCAGAGATAAAGCATGGCTGGACAAATGTTTGGCTCTTCATGTGACTACACAGGCAGATTCTTTGTTTTGGTAAAATTGAGTAGAAATCAACACATGTTGATACAGAAGCAGAGAAATCTTGTATGACTGTATACCATATTTTTCAGAGTATAAGACGCACCTTATTTCCTCTAAAAAGAGGATGAAAATCTGGGTGCGTTTTATACACCGAATACAGCATTTTTTGCCTCCTGAGACCCTGCCCCCTTCACCAAAATGGCTGTGTATAGCCTTATGGAGGCTTTCAGAAAAGCTCCTAGGGGCTGGGGATGGCAGAAATAAGCAAAAAATGGGCCATTCCCCCCCCCCAGCCCCCAGTAGCACTCTATAGGCCTCCATAAAGCTATGCATGCATTTTTGTGACAAAAAACGGCCCGTTTTCACGAAAAACAGGCCTTTTGATCTTTTCCCAACCCCCAACCCCCCAAGAGCACTCTGCAAGCTTCCCCCCAAGGCTATTCATGTCTTTTATTTGGGGAAAAAAAACAGGCCCATGTTCGCGAAAAACGGGCCATTTGGGGGAGATTTGCAGAGTGCAAAACCTTTTTTTTTCCCTTTCGGAAAGCTGTTTGGTTAGAGTGGTTGATGAGTTTTAGGCACTACAGGTTTTCAGCTATTTCCTTCCCCAGCACATGGATAAATACAGCTGGAAACATCTACCTACCTACCTACTCTCTCTCTCTCTCTCCCTACCTACCTACTGTATTTCTCTCTCTCTCTCTCTCTCTTTCTCTCCATATATATATCTCTCTCCCTTTATTTATTTATCAGCATAAATATAACATATATATATATATATATATATATA